ACGAGATCTTCAAGCTCCTTTATGCGTTCAGACTTTGCAGCGTCGAATGTGTCGGGCTGCATTTCACGCTCTTCGTCGTCAAAAGCCTTGACTTGGGCGCGCAGGAAGTCGACTTCCTTGGTTGCGAGAGCCTTCTGTCGTTCGAGACGCGCTCGCACCTTTGCGTCGGCACTGTTCGTCGCGGCGGTGTTTCCGGCGGCCTTGAGTTGCTGAATTTCCGCCTGTAGTTTGGCCTTCTCCTCTTCGAGTGCTTGTATGGTAGCGTCCTTGACAGTGAGCTCAGGCTTGATCTCTCCCAGCCTGTTGAGCAGATCGGTTCTCTCTATGCGCTCTTGGATGAAGGCTCGCGCGAGGTCTTGGGGGGTTTCGAAGAGTACTTCGCCGTGTATTTCTGCCTCGGCCTCGAGGTACGACGTCCAGGAGTCGCGCTCTTCTTCCAAGACCTGCTTCCTCAGCTCTGCCTCTCCCAACTGCCGTTCTAAGTCATCCATCATGCGCAGCTTTGTCTGCAGCGACCGCTTCTCCTCCTCGACCACCTCAATCGCTTTGTGTTGCTTCCGGTACTGCTTGAGCTCAGTATTCTGCTCTCTCGTCAGGGTCTCCAGCTTCTTGATGTGTGCGACCTGATCGGAAAGTTCCCTCTTGATGACTGCCAGTGTTTCCGCATCGCCCGTTATTGCCTTCAGGCGCAAGACCTCAGCCTCCATCTGACCGACTTCCTCCTCCTTCTGCGCAAGCTTCTTCTGCGACGTTTGTAGAGCGTTGACCTTGGCCTGTAGATCTGCATGCATCTCCTCCACGCTCTCCTTCAGTGCTTTGTGCTCTGTTTGTAGGGTGTTGTATCTGTGCTCGTTCTGCCGTTGCGACGTCGACAACTCCTCCTTGACCTCGTCGTATTCCTCTTGTAGCGATTGCGCCCTCTCTTGACTCTCCCGCAATCGCCGTTCCAGCGCTTGCCGCTCGTTCGCAGCCTTCGTCTGTGCCTCCGACATCTCCTTGGTCAGCGCATCGTATTTCTTCGCGGTCATGCTGTTCGACGCCTCCACCTGCTGGGCCTTGCGAAAGTCGGCATCGGCGCGGTTCTGGGCGTCGCGGAGTTCCTGCGCATGCTCCAGCTTCATCATCTCCTTTTCTTGTTTCGCGGTTTCGAGCTCATATCGCACCGTGTTGAGTTGGGCGCGGAGGTCTTCATTGATCGGGTCAGAAGGCACAACCGTGTGCGGCGCATTCTGGGAGGCTCGTAATGTGGTTCGAAAGGTTTCGCGCAGAGGTTCTCGTTTGGCAGTCGTAGGCGCGGGTGTTGGCTCCTCTTCCTCGCCGGTGAGGAAGTTGAAGGAGGGCTGGGTCGTGTTGCGCACCGCCATGGCAGGAGCGACTCCGTGTTGGTTTGTTTGTTGTGTCGCGACGGGTAAGGAGCGTATATAGTCGTGGTTCAGATGTGGAGGCTATTATTATGCCATGACTATTGGCGAGGAGTGTTCTTTCCTCGCGACGGGGCGCAGATTCGAGGCGAGTGGTGGGTAATTGGTGGTTCCTGTTGTCGCAAAGCACAGTGTCTGGGGTTCACGGCGCCGTTCGGGCAAGGCCGCCTCAGGCCTAGCGCGTGAGCCCTGGAAGTGCGTCTGGCGCGCAAGCACGTGGCTTTCACTCTACACAAGTCACGTCACAACTCGAGCACGCTGCAGTAAGAATCAAGTCTTCATTCTAGTTTCAAGGCCATTGATGATAAAACTGCGGCTGCATCGTGAGTTGCAGGGTCAACTACTTCCTACTCTCGTACACCCGCCCACGCTTTCGAAAAGACATCGCCTTCGCCATCCCTCCAGCCCCATGCAACACAGTAATGCCGGAGCAGCATTTCCAGCTCCTCCAGTTCGTCTAGGAATTCCAAGCTAGCGATGCGCTCCTTCTCCTCGTCGTCGATCCACTTTCGCCAAATCGTACTTGTGTCCGCGACCTTTGCCCCGTCTGTCAAGCCATAGCCCTGAAGGCGTGCACGTTGGTCGCCCAACTCAGGATACGCTATCAATGTATGAAGGTGAATGTTGCGGGACTGGAGGTTCGAGATCATGGTGCGACCAAAAGCATCTTGGGGCAGGATGGGCTCGTAGAGAATGAGAGACGCAGACGTCGCAGTTTGTAGGTAATGTGTGAGCAGTGACGACACTATTGATTTCACTGTCGAGGGCTGCAGGTAGACCAGGCACATCTCAGACAGGATCAACGTAGGTATGCTCGGGTCCAGGTTCGGAATCTGAGGTAGGGGTTTCTCGTCCGATGGGTCGGCCAGAGTACGTAGGTCGAGCGCATGGATGTTGTACGTGTCTGAGTGGTAGGAGGCTGAAGTTGATGGTATGTGCAGTAGCTTTCGGTAAAGCAGCGGTTGCCTCTGTATGGTGGCTATCTTGGCGAGCGTGTTCGAAGGGAAGTCGATTTCGTGATATACGAGGCGCGTTTGAGGGTACAGGTCGAGGAGGCGGAAGAATCGCGTGTCGGTGCCGGCACCTAGAGAGATGATCTGCTTCGCCGACGACGGGTAGGTGACGAGGAACTTGGCGACGAGGAGGTCGATGGCCGAGGTGCGGACATAAGTGCCTCTGTTGAGCAACGGCAGCTTCCTCGTCGTCTGTTGTGTCGCGAACAGCTTCGCGTATGGGTCGTGAAGATAACCTAGCTCTACACAGCTCACCCTGCTCCCCGCCGCATCTTGATCAGTCCCCTTGACGGCATCGTCGAGAACCTGGGCCCTTGTTTCACTGGAACCTCCAAGACCACCTCTTCCACGTCCTCTACCTCTTGATGGTCCGCCGCGGCCTTGTCCGAGAAGAGTTCTTAGGTTGGGGATTTCGTTTGAGGAGGCCATGTCCAAGTTCGAGATGGGCGGAAGTGGTGGGGTTCCAAGCTCCAGGTCCGCGCGCTAGGGCTGCACGCCAAGCCTCTCGCCCGGCCTGCCTTTGGCACTTCTGGAGATTTCTTTGACGCGCCCGTCTTCACTCACCTGTTGCGCCGACACCACCGCCCGACACTCGTTCCCCCGCATCAACGTCACCGACCGCAAGCATGGAAGGCGAAAAGTACAGCGCGTCTCTGATTCGCCTGTGGAGGGTCTGGCGGACAACCAAGGAGATGATGAACGACCGGGTGCGTTGCGCATGCGCTTGAAGGAATCACGGACTGCGCGCTGACTCTACCAAAGGGCTACATGATTGTCGAAGATGACATGACCATGTCACTCGAGGAGTTCTCAAGGAAATATGCGCGCGAAGACGGAGAGCCTGAGTATGCGCCCACCACAGCCATGTCCAGGCCGCAGTACTGACCCTAACCAGCCGTTCGCGCCTCAACTTCTCCTGCCAGCCCTCCGAAGACATGCTCCGAAGGTATACCGATGCCCCGACCAAGAAGAACCCAGAGCCCCAACCCAACATCGGCACCATCTGGATCGAGTTCAACGCCGACGAGAACGTTGGAATGAAGCAACTGCGCGACTACATGTCCCATCTTGTCAACGGCTCCTTCCACTCCGGCATCATGGTCACCGTAAAGCCCATGACGGGCATGGCCCTTCGACTCCTCCGCGGCGCAACAAGCATCACCGACGGCCCCAAGGGCGGTGTGGAGGTCTTTGTCGAGCAAGATCTGCTGGTCAACATCACAAAGCACGAATTGGTCCCCAAGCACGTCCTGCTGAGTGACGAGGAGAAGCAGCAGCTACTTCAGCGATACCGTCTGAAGCAGACACAGCTCCCCAGAATCCAGTCCACGGACCCAGTCGCCAAATATCTCGGTCTGAGGAGAGGTTCTGTCGTCAAGATTATCCGAAAGTCAGAAACAGCCGGTCGATACGCCAGTTACCGATGGGTCATATAAGCGTTCAGCCCGAAGGGTAGATTGCGAGAGAGAGAAACGTTCGAGTACAGCGTGCTGTTCAAGCGAAAGCGCGCATGCGTAATACCTCCAGCCGCGTCAAGGCCTTCAGATTGGAGTAGGCACCAAGACCGGTGTAGCATTGGGCGAGGCGTTTGGCGATGGAAAAGGGTCTGGTTTTTGACACCGTTTTTGTACTATCTGAGAAGCAGGAAGGAAAGCCAGGGACGAACGAATCAAAGTCTCGAGTCTTCATTGCCATAAAGTGCCATGCTCTGGTGCCGAACCCTTTGTCCATCCCTCACACCAATGAGACAGGGTCAACTACGCCACAGCCATCCGCGTCACCATTTGACTTGTTTCCATACCACGCCGCATCCACACATACCCGATACCCTTAGTCCCCCTCCTACCCGCTCCTATTCCCAGCCCGACCTTCCCATCCAAGTAACTCTTTCTGAAAACCATCGAAGGCTGTGACCCAGCATTACCCTCATCGGTGAACTAGCCCCATGGACTATTCAAAGCTGCATCATCCTATTCCGGTAGCTGCTAGTTGCAGACACGGGTAGCGCGGCCGCTTCGGTAGCTTTTGTACCGTTCAAGTCACCGTTCAGAGGACGAGTGGAGAGCTGACTTGGCTTGGCTTGGATGCGGGAGCGTATGTGTGCGGAGTTTGTTTACCGGTGAGCGTGGGGTTTGGTGATGGTGGTGGTTCTGCTTACGATCAGCAGGGCAGGCTGAGGCTGATGGGCTGATGTTACCAGGTTAGACGAATACCGCTAACCTTGCATGCCGCTCGCCGGATTGGGAAGATGGTAGTTTTGCGGTGGTGGTAGCGCTGATCGTTATTACATCACCATAGCTGCTTAAACGTAGGTGCAGTAAATATGATAGAATCACAAGGTTCGATCTACGATCCCCGCGACTTCAGATGATATGCATTGAGCGCTGGAAATGCGTCTTGGGAGTATCATGCCAACTACACTGTGCGCCCTGCTGATGCGAAAAAACTCTATGCGTACATGGTACAAACACTGTGGTGGGGTATAACAGGAAAGCTGTCTGTAAAGAAGACACGAAATGAAGTTGAAACATCGCCGCAAACAATCTTCCGTTGTATACATGCCTCCTCAAGCCTCGTCATCCTCCTGCTCGAACGTCTCGGAAAAGTTGATCAGGGAGGTGAACTGCTCCGTCGTCTCCTTAATCTCCACCGTTCTTCGCTTGGCCTCATCTGCGAGCCAGCTGAGCGGCACCAGTATCATCTCGCCCTTGCTGTTCTTGAGAAGCTTCGTCCTTTCTTTCTTTGTAGACGATGGCTTTGGTAACTCGACCGCTGCCTCCATGGTAGTAATCGCGTCGCTGCGTCTATGCCGGTGTTCGAGGATATCCACGTCGATCGTACGCTTTGCGATGACATGATAGATGTGAACCTTCTTCTGCTGACCATAACGACGACTTCGAGCGATAGCTTGTGCCATGGCCGAATCGTAGTCATACTGCGTCTTTGCCAAGAAGGGCGAAACAAATATGACGTGGTTGGCCACTGTGAGATTGCTGTAGAGGGTCAGTTCGAGGTATCCATGTACATATGCAAGAGGGACTTACACGCCAGCTGCAGACTCGCTTCCCAGATTGAGTATGATGAGCTTTTTCCTCTTTTTAGGATTTGTGTTCGTCTTGAAGTCCTCCATAAGCTTCGCTGCCGACGCCTTATGTCGACTTCCGCCCAGCGAATGGTAAGAGACATTACAGTGGTCGAACACGGTCTCGAGAATGCTGATGATCTCCTCGTTTGGCGCGAAAACGATGCATTGATCAGATTGTGGAAGCCCTTGAACAAGTTGGGCAATAGCCTCAAGCTTGTTGCCAAAGCTCTGCCCAGTATGTTGGTCGTGACTTAGACCAAGATCAGCCATCCGGATCAGGTTGCCTTCGCTTGCGTAAGAATTGCAGCCAGAATGTACGCAAGTCTCGTCGTCGGTTCGCAACGCAAGACACTCTTTGCATGCGGTATGTCCGCAGTGTGGTATCGAGAAGAGCAATTGAGGGCTAGCTACGCCTTTGCAAACAGGCGAGCTACAGCGGGTAGGTTCCTTGCCGACAGTTGCATGTTGAAGATAGTCGTGGATCGATGCGATGAATCGTTTTGACCTTGTCCTATGCGCAAATTCGAGAGCGGTATCTCGGAGCTGTGAAAGTTCCTGCTTGATCAACCGCTCGCGCTGAAGTTTCGACATGTCCGCGACATCAGCAAAGCCAGATTTGGGGGTCTTTTGTGCTTCTTTGATCAAGCCGCGAACAACTTGGCTGGACTCGTCATCTCCGAGCCAATTGTACTGTGATATATCCTTCTGGAAATGGCCGTAAAGGTCTTTAATGGTCGGCTCGTTGTTCTTAGACTTCTTCATCAAGCCCTCGAACTTCGATAGCAGCTTCAACAAGTCCTTCTTGGTGTTGCGTAATTGTTGCGACCTTTTTTCGAATAAGAGCTCAAGCGCAGATTTGCCTTCCTCTGTCTCAAAGAGCAAAGCACATCTGAGCAGTGCTTCTTCGGCACTTGCGGAATTCTCTAGGCTGTCATTCAGTCTGCTACTCCTGTCGGAGCCAGACTTCTTGTTGAGCTTTTTGATTTGCATCTTTTGAGAAATGAGGTATTGAGAGAGCTCCAAGTAGACGGCATGGTGAGCAGCATCCAGATCCACCGATAGGAGCTTCTCCGAGCAGTCAATGTGCTGAAGCTCAGCCTCATTCTGTCTCACAAATTTGTCGAGAAAGGCCTGCGCCCGTTGGTGTCTCGCTTCATGCCATTGTCTGGACATGACTTCCGTTTGTGACAAGAAGCTTTCCACATCAGTTTGGTCAAGTTTGGAGACCTTCTCCGCGGACGTTGTAACTGTGCCGTCGCCACAGAAGTACCGACCAAGTTTGACTCCGAGGAAGGATGCCAGCTGATTGACATCAGAGAAGTTGGCTAAGGCTGGCGTTCCAGACAACACCCAGCGTTTATGTGCAGCAACTTGTTTGATGCTCGTGGCCATGAAGTTGTTTCCTATCTTGTTTGTGTCATTGAGATAGTGATATTCGTCCACGATGATTCTGTTGAACCGGAACAGATGGACGAGTGGCACTAAGTGTGACGAACTGTCTGGTCTCGATGTGGTCTTAGCTTTCGCCTTGGCTTTGGCTTTTTTCGATGGGCCTGAAGTAGACGACATGGCCTCGAAAGAAAGATATGCGCTACCATGCCGGATGCTTATTGGCAATGTGGCCTGGAACTCGGGTTGCTGGAGCCTTTCATCCACGAGTTCCTTCGTCAGCCGTTGAAAGTCCTCGTAGTCATGATGCTTGTACACAGTCAGCTGGTTAGGGATTTCTCCAACGGCCCTATCCAGCCAGCAACTGAATGCACGACGGCTGGTCATCAAAGGTTCTGGCAATGCGGTGAACTTTGCTAGCTCCGAAATATAAGCTTCATCGGCAAACAGCGTCCAGGACACTATGATGACTTTGCTTTGTAAGAGGTCTTCAATCGTGAGACCCTTCAGCTGACTGTAGTTCTCTATGACAAGGACATTATAGCTCTCGTATCTTTCGGATTCTAGAAAGTTCTCCAGTTCCGTACTCCATTGACTTGTAATATGGGGAGGTGAAACGATCAAAGTCGCAGCTGAATCCAGAAGTTGAGGCTGCTCAGCTGCCACGGATCGGTTGCGCTGAATGAGTGCATCCATGGTGCACTGTTCAAATTCGCTCTGGATGAGCCCAATACTTGTGACAGTTTTGCCGAAGGACGGGTGATCGGCGAGCACGCCACCACGGACAACGTGCTCTGTCTCCGCTCGAGCCTCTGCTCTCCAACCTAGACCTGAGTGCACTGACTCTTCTGTCTCGGTGATCTTTATTGTTATGCCCCGCTCTTGCTTTGCCATCCATGACACAGACTTCACTTGCGCTCCCTGCAGATACTCCGGCGGCGTAATTGCGGGATCTTGAATATCATTCGCATTGCTTTGCAGTTGAAACTTCTGGAGGGGCTGTGAAGGTAGATCAACATGATCCGTTATCAGTCTCCAGGAAGTAGTCATGGAAACACCTTTGGCAAACCTTCCTTGCGCGCGATGCGTCAACGACAGGATATCGACACCGACCCGAATTCGTGTCCCTGACAAATCATTGGAAGCTTCCAATTGAACTATGTCAGGACGCTGCTTGATGGCGCGCTCGAATGCGGCAGAAGCTTGGCGGTCCTCATGTGCTGTTGCTAGACTCTTCTCATTGACACTCCAGAGAATCTCGGGATACAGAGGTGCGCAGGAACACTCCCCGGACCAGTTTGACTGCACTGTCTGCCATGATGAGCATGTCGGTAGTGTCTTGGCGCTTTCTAAAGCCCAGGAATAGTCTGCAAAAGTTCGCACTGAGACTTCATCTTGAAGAGAGACGTCTAGGCAAGTGAGCGCCTGGGAACAATCTGGTAGGGTGTTGTCTTTGAGGCATCCTTCATCGAGAAAACCGACGTTGAGAGGAACAATTGCTGGTACAAGCGTCATTGCAGCAGGAGCGTGCACGTCAGGAATTGTGATGCCAACGGCGTCCACACATCCGTCCTCCACGTCCCAAGGCCGCCAGGATGAATCCACACGGGCCAGCGTGATACGGCTGTCTCCATAGTGTTTGCGGGTATGGTCCTGGCTAAAGACGAAGCTGTCATGATCTGGTCGGCCGATAGGGTTAGGATCGAGAAACAAGTACATGCTGTTCACCCCCGTTAACCTCTTGTAAAGGCTAGTCGACGCAGTTCCACAATGCGGTTGATGCTCGTAATCGCCGGTGATGGCCGCTACCTCCTGGTCATTGCCTCGAATTTTGATGGTTCTTGGTACGGTCTCCTCTTTGTAGTCCGCAAGACCAAGTCGACTCCTCCAAGAGCTAATTTTCTCAACCGAGCCGCTAATGTTAAGAGTATGGTTCTTGGTGTAGGGTATGCGTATTTTCCACTCAACGTCGAAGAGAGTATTGGTGGTGACACTATGTGCTATCGGATTGCGAAAGAATTCGCGCAAGGGGCTGTTGCCAGGGAGATTCGGTGGACATATGACGAATAATGACCATTGAATATCGGAGCCGACCTTCAGCTCAATCGTGGCACTAGGCGAGCTGTAGGTGATCTTCCACTCATTGTACTCTCTGGAGAATTCACCAATACAGAAATACTGTAAGCTCAGCTGCGCTTCCGATATGACGGTCAGATACTCGCTCAAGATCGGGTCTTTTGGACCCATCTTGGCAGCCAGATGAGGGATGTTAGGGAAGGCATCCAACTTCAGTCGTGGAGGCAACCTGGGTCTCCACCGCCTAATGAATTCGTCAGGCGGCGGCTTTCGACGACTTGGCAAGACCGTTTCTTTATAAACGTGCTTGGGGTTCCCGGCGCATGAGGCGCAAGCTGAATGTCCACATGTAGAGCAGACATGAATCGCGGTCTTGCTGATAATTTGTTTGCCTTCACAGTTGCACATCCGCGCACTCATCTTTGCTTCGTGTCTGAGCTCGGCCAGGTCGAGATCTTCATAAATGCTTGGTTCCAGAATTGTATGTCCCAAGGCCTCTGGTTGGACGATCATTTTACTGGTGGGCGGAGGAGCTTGTGCTTTGTCGTATGTTGCTACGTCACTGGAGCGAAAGGCTCTGGATCCAGCGATAATGGCAGATATTAGAGAGGCTCCGATTACTGTAGTTGACATAGCATTGCCTGCTAGGTTTTGTAGGTCCTTCTGTGTTTCGTTGGCGAACAGCAGTCTATCAAGGGGCATTCCCTGAAGGATCAAGAGTTGGCTACCGTTGAGAGTATGTTGACGATTGCTCGCGAAATCTTGGCCGCCTGGTGTCAGGCACGGCGCGATACCCAAGTCTGCTTTGAATCGATCGACATTCTGGCTGACATCCCAGAGCGCCATTTTGTAAAGTGAATCACAGCCCTTGAGGGCAGCAAACTCTAGGTGAGCGATGTCGATGGCGTCATGCACCCTGGAGGATTGAGAATTGTAAAACTTTCGATCTGCGAAATCGGGAGGCCTGCCACCATTAGTCTGAGCAAATGAAAGCAGGATTACGTGGACTTACATGACGGTACCACTGTCGCTTCGTCGGCTGACGGGGCTTAGTATACCTAGTCTCTTTTCGGAGCGAATGTGGTCATTCCGGAGCTTACACAAAGCCCAGTCCGGTTCGTTCTTCAAGACACTGTAGCCACTTGACTCTTTCAACGACTCTGGAAGAAAAGCTTCGTAAGGGCTGCTGCACTGTCTCTCAAGTTTGTGCATCAATTCCTTCCACTGGTCAGTCGCGCTCTTCGCATCTTTACCGAAGTGTGAACGCTCTATCGCAACCATATACATCCTTTCTCTTGTCTGGGGTAGATAGAAGTTTTTGGTGTCGCAGTAGGTCCATTGAGCTTCATAGCCGATCTTTGCCCAACGTTTTACCACGTCATCCCAAGTCTTCTTCTCATTCTTGACATTCTCCAGGAGTACTAGACTGGGGCGAAAGCGCTCCGCGTAGGTGTAGATTGCTCGCCATGTGTCGCCCGATTCGCCACCGTCATCGAGAGTTTTGCCTTTGTTGTTCATCCTGGAGAGATCCTTGCAGACGAAGCCGGCGATGAGGATATCTATGCCCGTGGGAATGTCTACCTCTGCTCCGTACGCTGTCATGGCGGTAGTGGTGTCCTTGCGAAGGAAGTCACGGACGTCTCGGAACAGCTTCTTTGGGGCGAAGTTTCTTTCAATGTATCCTTGCTTGAAGACCTCGATTTCGGCAGAGAACTCTTGCTGAATGTGCATCCGAGATTTCCCCATCGTTTCAAGTGCTGAGGGTAAAGTTAGCTCACAATTCTCTGTAGGTGTTAATGCGACTGACCTTTCGAGATCTCATCCAAGGCTAACAAGGGAGATTCCGTGCCAGAGCACATCGTAGCAACCCTAATGGATCGGCCTCCCAAGCTCTTCAAAGCCTCACAAAGACCGAGCTCCATGGCTTTAGCAGTCATGTCAGACATGCATTCTTGAATGTTCGAGAGCGGGGGAAGGCTCAGGTCTATGCCTTTGCCAGCTCGAGCTGATTCACCAGTCTTGGTGTTCCGGCGTGGATTTGCCTTGGGCTGATCGTCTTCGACAGGGATAATATCTTCATCCATCGAAACGTCTAACGATCCAGCGTCACTCGTGCCCGAGGCTTCCTCGTCAGAAGATGCAGGCTCAATTTCTGCTTCGCTTTCTTCTTCTTCGTCCGTTGTGGGAGAACTGTAAACGTCTGATACGTCCTCATCTTCGTCTTCGGCTGCGAGACCCAGGTCTTGGTCGGACATGTCGTCAGAGTACTGCGGAACGTAGGATACTCTAGGTCGAGCCCTACTGGAGCGTCCACTGAGACCGAGGTTCCGCGTGCCAATCTCATTTCGCTGATGTGAATCGTCGTCCTCCATGGGAATATCCTCATCACCAGATGCCATCGCTGACTTCAGATCGTTATGTAAGACAAGATCGTTTGAGTTTACGGGTGAAGGTAGCGTATCGTCGCCATTATGTATTTCTTCGTTTGCGTCGGCAATGTTTGCGACAACAGGGTTTGCCGGTGTCCCTGGGCCTTTGAGCAAACTTGACCCAGATGGGCTTGAATTCGGACTAGCCACCTGTTTATGATGATCGGGTGTGCTGCTCGGTACGAGCTTTCGGCGCTTCGATCTAGCTGTGCCGTTACGTGTTGTGTTGTGATCAGCTTCATCACTCACATCCTCCGTAGTAACCTGGGCGTCATTACTGGTCTGAGGTACCTCGCTACGTCGAGTTCTTCGGCCTCTGCGGGACTGCTCTGGTGCAACGCCTTCAGATTGTGGGATGATCTCGGTCTTTGCACTCGCATCCTCAAGCTTGTGCTTCTTCTTCTCGGGTAGCCTGCGACATAGATGTACGGTCTTATTGCGTATGCAAGTATCGCAGGGATCTCTCCCGTCGCACTGCTTGAATCCGCGTATTGTACACCGTGGGCAACGTGCCGCTATCGCTGCCGATTCTTCAGGCGTTGGCAACCTGCATTTCTTCTTCTTGTCCCGTATACAACGCGTGCATAGATCTGCTCCTTCTTCTGTATGACATTCGTAAGCCGCGTTGCCTCCACGGGTCAGACAGAAGTAACAACAGTCTAGAGGTATGACCTGGTCGGCATCGTCGGTCGCTTGAGGTGGTGTCGCGGTATCAGTAGGGATAGAGGGTGTATAAACTGCAATTGGTTAGCTTTTGAGAGACAGCAAGTGGTGATGATAAGGTGAACGGCATACCATGCACATGCTGGGCTGTGTGCGCGCGGCGAGCGCGATTACCTCGCGTGTGGGTCTCAGCCAAAGGAGTGCGCTCAGTACTCCCTCTGCTGGCAGTGAGTGGCCGTGGTACAACATGAATAATATCATCGTCGTACTCAAACACGCTGTGTGCAGGTGACACTTGGGCGACGCGCTTCCGCTTACGCGAATTGTTTTGTCCCATGGTGAGAGTTTCTCGATGCAAGACACAGAATTGAGTATCGGCACAGCCGTTAATCTAGCGATAGAAGAATGAAGTGGCGCGGTTCGCTCATGACATGCAATTCGCGCGGTGGGCTCAACAAAGTGTATGGAGTTCATGCGGCATGCATGCACGTAGCGCGACGACGCGTCGCGCTAGTGAAGCGAAAGCACGTGGGGTCATCCTGTCACAACATGTACCCCGCATTCCGTCTCTTGCTGCTGAATTGTAAGGCTTGGTAGAGTTTCAAGGAGGAACGGCATCTCTTGAATAGTTCATAGATGAATTGAGAGTGAGAGGACTTGCGTGAGCCGTTTCAGGCATGCACAGCCGAAGCGGATAGAATACTCAGAGAGGGAAGGTGCCATCCTACGCAGCGAAGTCGGGCAACACTCAGCTCATGTATACCTAGGTATCCACCCTCGTGGCTTGGTACTCGTATTATCCTCACCGCAACACCTAGAAAACACTTAACGTCTTTGTTCTGCCTAGTGTTCACGACACTCTCAAGATAACAACATGTCTAATCAGGCAGTCAACACATTCGAGGACCTCACCGGTGTCTCAACGTCCTCCTTCAGCAATCCGTACGATGCATTGATTGCGGCCTGTCAAGATGATCCGGTAAGATTCTTTAATATCTGACCTTTGTATGTACTTAGCAAACACCGCAGGTACGAATCCAAGAAAAGTACCAGCTGCACCGGATTACGAGGAATGCGCAGCAAAAGGCGAAGATGCTCGATACAAGCTTCCAGGGCGTCAACATAGACCCCATACTCTTGAGATTGGAAGACCCCACTGTCGAACCTGGATTTAAAGATCCCCGCAACTGTTTCGTAAGAATGCTGATGTACAACTTACGTCGATACGTGTACTTATCATGCGCAGGTATTCTGGGGCCGTCCTACAGAGCAAGTCAAGGATATGATCGCTCGAGTGCAGCAGGAACTGCGAATAGTAGCACCAAGTAGGCACAATATCATGGTTACCGTATTGTGTTTCTAATGAAAGTAGATCTATGGCTCATGCCCCGGGATAACCAACACATCACAGTACTGGAAGTAACGCACTCGAAGACGGCACCAGAGATCCAGCAACTTGTCGATAGTGTGCGAGACAAGATACCTGCCATGACCGACTATACCCACGAGCATCGCACGCGCCTCATCAAGCCCTTGATTGGGTACGATGCTTCAGCGATAGCGTTGAGCTTTGTACCTGCAGCTGGCGAAGGACTGCACTCTGGCCGTACGCCCGAAGACGACAGGTTCACTTACCACCATCTTCGCCGAGATTTGTTCTCCATGTGTCGCGATGCAGGTCTTCAAGTGGAATCGCGATACGTCGTACCGTCAAGCCATCTCACCATCGGCCGCTTTATCTATACTAAAGATCAGGAAGACGGAAACGGCTTGCTAGATCCTGAGAAGACGAAGGCTTTGATCGACAAGATCGAGGAGATCAACGCGTGGCTGCAGAAGGACTACTGGCCGGAACATAATGAAGGCAAGATACCTGCTGGTGGAGAGTTCAACGTGGGCCAGGAAAAGGGTTTGCATTGTGGAACGGGCCCCCTTTGGTATGGCGGAGGCGATGCAGTGCATCTTGGGAAGGGCTACTGAGCAGCGTGAGGTCTTTCAACAACATGTTGGTACCCGCTTGATGTTGGGAGGGCTTTTGTTGGGTCTACAGGTCGGGAGGTAGGTGTACGACTCTCAGCTGGGGGCGTCGTGATGTGCTGGCTAGGTTTCGCGTCGTATTCTACCAGACGATATCAAAAGACGTCTATAAGGCAGACGCATACATTACCTTGAGACCTGTGAAGTTGGCGCGATTTATGCGTGTGTATGCAGCAAACGCCTCGAATCCTAGCCTCCCCTGGTGGCGGCGGAGCGGCGGGGATGACGTGTGGCGTGTGGCTTGGCCAAAGCGCGTTCCTGAAGCTCCCCACGCGGCATCACAGACCCTGACGGTCAAGTTGTATCACGCTTGTTTCTGCTTTGGCTTGCATAGCTTTTGGACTGGACAGATCATCGAGGAGTAGACATCACACCCCGACCCGGCTAAACCTGTCCTTATACTGTAGCCTGGAGACCTTTGCGACCCCGTGAGGCCCCATTGCTGCTGCCTTCCAACGTCTTCACGAATACGTGGCATCTGCCTTCTCTCACTTTATATACCCCAAACTCGGTAGCGACATCCTCCCACCACCAAGCATGTTCAACCGCGATCGACTTCCAGGCCTTCCTGGTAGCTCCCCTCGGCCACCGCCCCGTAACGACGGTTACGGACGCCCACCCCCGCAACAGCAACCACCACAACAGCAACCACCACAAGGACCTCCGCGAGGCCAAGACACAAGAATGGCGGGTTATGATGACCGGCCGCAACAACAGCGTATGCCCGCAAGGGGCCCTCCAGGAGGCGGTGGAGGCGGCGGCGGCGGTCCTCCACGACAGCTGCGGCCCATCAAGAGCCCAGGAGGCAACGCGTACGCTTTTGGCAACATGTATGTACAGTCAGCAGCAACGTAGCCTGCAAGCCTCTTCAAACCCCAAATTTCTATATATTCGGAACTCTTGGCTAACAACATGAAGCGTCGCAGTCTCCCCTCAAGACTTCCCACCAAACGCCGACGGTTCCGATATCTACATCATTGTCAACGGCAACTATGCACTTTCCGCACGACCAACGCAAGGATGCAACCCGGGAGAGATCGGTCTCACTGATTTCCAGCGAACATGGGCCGGCATATCGCTTGGTCCCCAGGAGGTTGTAAACGCAGCACCATACGATCACTTCGCGTACAGCGGCGGAAAGTCATACTTGGGCGCAGTGGACGTGGAAGTCGGATTCGCGGGAAGGAAGACCACGGAGACACCTTACGATCAGGACGAGCTCGCTACCGTCTTCAAGAAGAGTTTCGAGAACCAAATCCTCTCGCCAGGCCAGCAGCTTGTGATCGATATCAAGAACATACCACTTAAGTTGTCGATACGAACTGTGACGCTAGCGGATCTGTCTATGGAGAAAGATGAGGCCAACGCGCCTGCGATTACCGACCCTCGAGCTCGTGGTATCCTCACAAGACACACTCAGGTCGACTTCTTCAAGGATGCCAAGACAGATATCAAGTTAAAGGCGTCAGCGCGACGAGCAGCGGCAAACTCCATTATCCAGCCAGGCTTCAAGTTCGAAGACATGGGTATCGGTGGCTTGGATGCCGAATTCGGTGCCATCTTTCGACGAGCTTTCGCCTCCCGTATCTTCCCTCCGGGTATTCGGGAGAGGCTGGGTATCGATCACGTTCGCGGTATGCTCCTGTACGGACCTCCCGGTACGGGTAAAACCTTGATAGCTCGGCAGATCGGAAAGATGCTGAACGCCCGCGAGCCCAAGGTCATCAACGGTCCGGAGGTGTTGAACAAGTATGTCGGAGCGTCCGAAGAGAACATCCGAAAGATGTTTGCGGACGCAGAGAAAGAACAAAAGGAGAAGGGCGACGAAAGTGGTCTACATATCATCATCTTCGACGAGCTTGACGCTGTATGCAAGCAAAGAGGTTCTGGTGCGGGCAGTGGTACTGGCGTAGGCGACAGCGTTGTCAACCAACTGCTGTCCAAGCTCGATGGTGTTGACCAGCTGCACAACATCCTCCTTATCGGTATGACGAACCGAATGGACATGATCGACGAGGCTCTTCTGCGTCCCGGTCGTCTCGAAGTACACCTGGAGATATCGCTGCCCGATGAGTCCGGCCGAGCCCAGATTCTCAAGATTCACACAACAAAGATGCGCAAGAACAACGTCCTTGAGCAAGACGTCAGCGTCGAAGAGCTGGCTAAACTGACCAAGAACTTCTCTGGAGCTGAGCTCAATGGTTTGGTCAAGGCCGCCACATCGTACGCATTTGGCCGGCATATCAAGGATGGCACTACTGTCAAAGCAGACGTGGAAGATATCAAGGTCACGCGACAAGACTTCTTGAGCGCACTCGACGACGTCAAGCCGCTCTTTGGTGTCGCTGAAGAGGAGCTCAGTAAGCGATTCCGTCACGGTATCATCCATTACTCGCCCTTCATCAGGGACATACTGGAGGATGGACGTCTATACATCAACCAGGTCAGAAAACCGGAATCGAGTCCGCTCCTCTCGGTTGCGCTCCACGGTCCCCCAGGTTCCGGAAAGACAGCGCTGGCTGCGAAAATGGCAATCGATTCAGGTTACCCATTCATCAAGCTGATCTCAGCTGAAGATATGATCGGCTACAGTGAGATGCAAAAGGTTCAACAGCTGGATAAGGTTTTCCGAGACGCATACAAGAGTCCGTTGAGCGTCATTGTCATCGACTCGATCGAGCTCTTGTTGGACTGGGTGCCGATTGGTCCCAGGTTCAGTAACACCGTTTTGGCTGCCCTGAAGGTTCTGCTTGCCAAGGAGCCACCAAAGGTATGTAGCCTCACTATCCCGCTTCTACTGTGTAATCCATCTAACAACCCTAGGATCGTCGCCTACTCATCTTCGCGACAACGACCGAACGCTCGGTACTCACACAGCTCGATCTCTTCGCCCGATTCGACGCCGAGATCGCCGTCCCGAACGTCAACACACAGTCCGAGCTGGCAGCCGTCCTGCGGGAGTCCGGTGCCTTCTCCGATTCTGACCAACAGCGCGCCATCAGTGAGATCCAGGAGATGACAGGTAACACCGAAATTGGGGTCGGCATCAAGAAGATCCTCACCGGTATCGAGACGGCGAAACAGGACCAGGATGTGCCTGGCCGCTTCGCTCGCGTCATGTCTCGTGCTATTGCTGCGAACCGGGGGTCGATATAGACCAGGGTTGAAGCTTGACGAACTACTCGTGAACTTGTTTGAGATATGTCAGATCGAGTATCTTTAGATCTCTGCTACGACCACTACGGTCATGGCTCATGTAGATGCATGAAGCAAACCCAATAGAGATGATATACTATATCA